TGGACTGTTGTCCTCATCTTTGTCGCCATATTTATTGCAACGTTTCGGACGTTTGTATGTCGAACTGAACCCTTTATTTCGCTCACTGGGGTAAACTGTTCTAGTTCCACGTACCATGTTTAATGGATGTCAGTTATGAGTTATCTCCCCTCTCCAAGTTTTCCACTGCCTTAACAGGGTATTGAACTCACACTCTTTGGGTCCTGTCACTGGATCTAAATAACGCCTTTATCCACTGTGCCACTTGTGGACATCTGTGTATGGATTTCTGGGTATTATAAACCTAATCAGCAACCATTTTTGTCACCAGTTCTCATATTGAAGTGTTAGTTAGATCCAGAGACCATGACCCAAAGAGTGAGATTTTAATACCCGGTTAAGGCAGTGGGGAACTTGGAGAGAGTAGATAACTCATAACTGACATTCCTTAACCAAAGCACATGGAACTAGAACAGTCTACCCCAGTGAGCGAAATAGACTGTTAAGTTCAATATTCCAACCGCTTGATGAAGGCCAGGGCGTAAAACGGCCGAAGCGTTGTAATAAATATGTCGACAAAGATGGGGACAATAGTCCGAATAATGTAAATAGTGTATTTAAAAAAAAAAAAAAAACATTATTTGCAGTACGTAAATATAATCAGATGTTGGATTAACTTGTATTATTAGTAATAATAAAACTTCAAGAGAACATCGATGAAAAACAATTCTCTTTCCGGTGAACACTTTTTTTCTATCTCTCCGTTTCCTTCATGGCATAGAAAGTTGAGAAGAGCCTTGATTGTCTATCTTGTGTGACGCTTCGCAATTATTTTCCCTTTTCTAATGTTCCTGCCAAACTTTCCGTCATCCAATCACACAAGCCTCGTCACTTAAGTGGCTTGCTGAATTCACATTTCTCTTTGTCCCCTGAAAGGTCAACTTTTCCAATGCCTCCTTTATCCTTACGTATTCCAGAAATTGCAGCTGTCTTTTCCTGATTCTGAAAAAGTCTTCTTTCTGTTACAATTTGCTTGAAGATTTTCTTGTTGCATACTCGCTCTGTCCATAAATTCTTTTTTAGTATCCTTCTGTAGAAAAAAATTTCAGCTGTCTTTTGTTTTCTCCTCATCAGTTTTCACCGACAGACAAGAAGATGGATATCACATAGCAATGCCGTCTATCTTTCTTTCTAACGAATTTCTTCCCGTTTCTCAGCAACTTTTAAAAATGCTTTTTACGCTAATCCACTGCATGTTAAGATACTGGTGTCGCATTTTTCATCCTCTGTTAAAAAAAAACTACCCACATATATTAACTTCTACATCTGTTAATATCTCCAGTTCTTCGGCATTTTCTCTTACAGATAACTATACTGTCTTCTTGAAGTTGATGGTTAGTCACTTTTCTTCCCTTTTGTTTTCCACACTGTCTAGTATCTTCTGTAGTTTTTTGTCCAGCAAGAGCGTCATTCGGCTAAAAGATATGAAATATTTCCCACGTCGAAAACGAACTTAAAAATAAATCCACTCTTTCCTAAAATTTGAAGACCTTACGTGACTTGACTATCTGTGAAGTATAGAAATGACATAAATACGAAATAACTTTATCTTCAAAGGATACTCATCATTTATAAAATAAATTTTAATTTAACCATTATGTATTGTTTCTTATGGAAATATCTGCATTTTACGTTTTTCTTTATCAACATGTTTTTTTTTTTTATACTATTCAGCATATATTTTATTTAATATCGATGCCTTTAGTATAAATTTTCGATAGATGTACCACACGAGCTAAATTCTATCGGAATATTTGACTGTATATTTTTTTTAAAGCGTTTCACCCCAAGCAAGGCGGGAAGCCACTAGCACGCAAAGAGTTTCAGAGAGTTGGAGCGAGAGCAAATAGGAGTGATAGAGGAAAGGATGAAGAGAATGACATGGGATAGATCAGGGCATCTAGAGACGTCGACTAGCATTAAATTTGAATAGTTGGAGATGATAGGTATCATGGAAACAGGAAAAGGGGAGGGTGTTCCACAGGCAAAACATAAAGCTATTGGAGTAGAAGAGACGGCTACATTTAATAGTTTCGACAGTCAAAGTGCGAGAGCGAGATGCCAGCATAGTTGAACGCTTAAATTCATCAAGTTTGGGAGCCAGCGAATATATATATATATATATATATATATATATATATATATATATATACACTAACGTTTGTTATATATAATTGAAACCTTTTATATATAAAATTCCATATCTGGGCCTCATTTAGTTTCAGTTTAATAACGCATCCTTCATATAACCCATAAGGTTAATATCGGGGTTAATTTTATAAAACCTCTTCGCATTAAGGGTAATGACATCATCACTCTCCTTATCATTAACTCGGGTATTTTGTCTGACTGAAACATCGAAATGGATAAAGTTTGTATCAATTGACCACTGTCAGTTAAATTTCTAATTCTGACACGAATACAGTTCTATACAGCAGGGTTGAATAAGAGTGACGTACGTCTCGTTGGTTTATATAGATCAGTATCCCTCCATATGAGGTAATTTTGAATTTTGTTTGTTATATATTTGTATATATATATATATATATATGTGTGTGTGTATATATATATATATATATATATATATATATATATATATGTGTGTGTGTGTGTGTGTGTATATATATATATATATATATATGTGTGTGTGTGTGTGTGTGTGTATATATATATATATATATATATATGTGTGTGTGTATATATATATATATATATATATATATATATGTGTGTGTGTATATATATATATATATATATATATATATATACACACACACACAACAAAGAGATAAAACAAAGCGAGAACAAGCGCAATAGTTTTAAAAAAAGTCATTCACCATAAACTGGTAAATATGGTGAAAATATGTATTGATTTTCTAAGCGCTGCTTAGATGTGGCACAAGGCCGAAAATATGGAGCACCCATTGAGGATCGAACTCACTACTCAGTCGTAATTGTTCTGGCCAGACAGGCTTGCTAACCAGTACACCACGCCGTTGTGCCCGGTGAAAAATATATTTAACAAAAAACAAAAATAAACAAAAAAGAAATAAGATTATTAGCTAACCGATTATCGCTCTTCGTTCTTCAGGACAAGACCTGTGAATAATGTCAATACAGAAAAGGGAAACATTTCTTTACCGACTCGTTTCCTCTGATGGACTTCATCTAGGCAAAGGACGAATAGAGTCAGCAAAAAAGTTTTACCCTTTATTATTTACATTGCCTTTTTACAGATATATTTTATTGATATTTAATTTTTTGCGTATAAATATACGCAAAAATTAAAAGCCTATCTCTTGCATGTAATTTATTTTTAATTCTTTTGAATCTATCCATCCAGATGGAGTTGAAAGACTTTATATCTCCCTTATCAAAATTAGATAGTAATTTTCCAGGAAAAAAGAAATGTCAGTGTCTCCATTTTAAAGAAAATGCATAATAAATGTAATATTGATTTCTAAAAATAACATTTAATTAGAGGACATAGATTAAATCTTTTATGTGCTCTGTCGATTGAGGACATTGGTAATCTTGACTGTCCAAAACTTCCTGTCATTTGCATAATGGCTAAAAATGAGAAAGGAAAAATGCGACCAAAGAGTCAGCAGTATAAATCACAGACAGATTATACTCAAAGTAACTATTTACGGAGGGAACCTTGCTTAAGCATTTATATATATATATATATATATATATATGAGAGAGTAATCTCTCGATTAGTGCGACTAATGCGTACATCGATAATCATTAAAAAAATCAATTTTCAATTACTATGGTTAAACTGAAAATTGTTTTACCGTACTAACCGAGTATTACGTACACACTAATCGTATTTTGGTATATAAACACTTTGGAGCACTAATCTAATTACTGCAATAATCGAGGGGTGCCTGTATAGGAGACAGTTTTCCACCGAATAGATAATCCGATTTGTGCCTCTTATTTTACCACCAGATGAGTTGGCATGGCATATTCAGATTACCATTTGAGAATGTCAAGATAACTAGTTTCAGGTAAATACTCATAGATTGGCAGTTCATACTAAATTCTGAGTCGAAAGTCCTTCATATATTTGCAACGAGGAGGAAATGAAGGCGATTCGTTTCCGTGGAAGTAAATGAGAAACAAGAATATAAATGATATCATGAAGAAAAGCAAAAAGAAAGAAGAAGAAAGAACATAGGATGAGAGTAAAAGAAAGAGAAAGAAAGACGAGGAGAAAAATACGTAAAAAGAAAAAAAAAAAAAAACTTTGTTAGAAAAGGGAAGAAAAAAGAAAGACAAAGAACAGAAAGGAAAAGCTTTTGTAAAAGAAAAAGAAAAGAAAAAAAATAAAATAAAAAAAAAAAAGAAAAAAAAAAAAAGTTAAGGAGAAAAAAGAAAAAAAAAAAGAAACAGACGAGGAGAAAAAAGAAAGAGAAAGAACAGACGAGGAGAAAAAAGAAAGAGAAAGAACAGACGAGGAGAAAAAAGAAAGAGAAAGAACAGACGAGGAGAAAAAAGAAATTTTAAAAAGAACAGACGAGAAAGAAAAAAAAAAAGAAAGAAAAAGAACAGACGAGGAGAAAAGTAAAATCAAAGAACAGAAAGAAAAAAGAAAACAAAAGAACAGACGAGGAGAAAAAAATTTTCCAAAGAACAGACGAGGAAAAAAAGAAAAGAAACTTTTTCATCTTATGAAGGTGGAGGAGAAAAAAGAAAGACAAAGAACAGACGAGGAGAAAAAAGAAAGACAAAGAACAGACGAGGAGAAAAAAGAAAGACAAAGAACAGACGAGGAGAAAAAAGAAAGACAAAGAACAGACGAGGAGAAAAAAGAACTCCCCAAAGAACAGAGAGGAAGAGAGAAAAGAAGACAAAGAACTTCTATTGAGGAAGAAAAGAAAAGAACAGACAAGAAAGAAAAGACAAAGAAAGTCGAGGAAGAAATGAAAAGAACAGACGAAAAGAGAAAAATTTTAAAAGAACAGAAAAAGATGAGAAAGACAAAAGAAGGACGAAGAGAGAAGAAAGACAAAAGAACAGACGAGGAGAGAAAATTTTAAACAAAGAAACGAGGAAACCCTTTTCCAATGAAAGAACAGACAAGGAGAGAGAAGAAAGACAAAAAAAAAGAACAGACGAGGAGAGAGAAGCAAAGACCTAAAGTCTGGAAGAGAAGAGAAAAGAAAGACAAAGAACAGACGAGGATATTGTTGAAGAAAAAAAGAACAGAAGAAGGAGAGAGAAGAAAGACAAAGAACAGGGAGGAGAGAAAGAAAGAAAAATGAAAGAACAGACGAGGAGAGAGAAGAAAGACAAAGAACAGACGAGGAGAGAGAAGAAAGACAAAGAACAGACGAGGAGAGAGAAGAAAGACAAAGAACAGACGAGGAGAAAGAAGAAAGACAAAGAACAGACGAGGAGAAGAAAAAAGTGCAATCTCCATGCAATTGGTTATCGAGGAAAGAGAGGAGAAAGAAGCAAAAAAAAAACAGACGAGGAGAGAAAGAAAGAAAAGAACAGACGAGGATAAAGAAAGAAGAAAGATAAAAAAGAACAGACGATTTAAGGAGATGTAAGAAGAAAAGACAAAAAACAGACGAGGAGAAAAAAGAAAGACAAAAGAACAGACAGGAGAAAGAAGAAGAAAAAAAGAACAAGTAAGAAAGAAGAATCACCAAAAAGAACAGACGAGGAGAAAGAAAAAAGAAAAGAAGAAAGAAAGAAAGAAAGATGAGAGAGGTAAGAAAGAAAGAAAGAAAAGACGTTGAGAAGAAAGAAAGAAAGAAAGAAAGAAGAAAGAACAGACGTGGAGAAGAAAGAAAGAACAGAGAAGAAGAAGACTCATCTCAATATGTATCATGGAGGGCTGATAGAGTAGCGACAATCTTTCTATGTTGCATCTGTAGTAAAATGTTTAAGAGAAATAAATCATCACCTGTACAAAACACAAACGCTGTCAACTTTAGAAAATGAGGACTGATCAAATTCATATAACAATGCTCCATTTTTGAATTCACCTGACTTGTAAAAGTAAAACATGTCAAAGTTCATGTATTTTCTAGAACAATAGAATGAGTACTTTTGTGATGTCAACGAATACTCGTTGTCACTTTCGTAATGCTCGTTGTAGTAGAGACTTTGTAATCGCAGATACAACTGTAGTACCGCCGTTGAACAATACTGGTGTCAGACGCCTTCGAATAGCACTCGCATTAATAGTACTTCTTCGATAATACTCGCTCCAATAGTAATTCGTATAGTGATCTGAATAGAGAAATAGAATAATGAATAGAATAGAGAATCGCAGTCCGTAGAGTAATAGACGATAGAACGAATGATGATCCGTATAGTATAGAGGACAGAATGGAAATAACGATCGTTTGTCGTCAGCTACTTGTTACATATATGCGTTTCCTCTATGGTCACGTGGTCTACTCAATTCAATAATGGGATTGCCTGTGTTTGCTCTCTGGCGATCTATGTTCAAACTCAAATGTCGGCAGTGACACTTTATTCCTATTATTTATTAAAAAATATTTTGTGATGCCAACATTTACTCGTTGTCACTTTCGTAATGCTTGTGAAAGTAGAGACTTTTAAACAGTTACAACTATAGTAACGCCGTTCAGCAATACTACAATTAAGACGCCTTAGAATAACACTAGAACAAATAATACTCACTGAAAAGAATAAAAGTGAAAAAGTGATAAAGAATAAAATTGTATAGTGATGATATTCAGTAAACGTCCCACGCGGTCGGATGCAGCAAAAGGCGTAGTTTCGAATAAATTATTGTTAAATTGAACAGGGCTCAGGAAAAAATAAAAAAGAAAGGAAATAAAAACCGGGGCATAACTGATCTACCACCCCAGACGGGACTGCCTTTTTGGCATAGCCTCGTCTGGGTTCCTCAAATCCAGAGGCATAGGACGAATAATTTTTCTCCTCCGAAGTAATTTAGTTGATCATTAGAGAAAACGCTAATCGGACATATTTAAAAAATTTTCCATCACGTGATCAACTTATTCAAAATGTGATTGCCCGTGTTTGCTCTCTGGTGATCTGTGTTCAAACTCATTGCAAAGCGACACTTTATTAAAATAACACATTTTTTGATTCCAAGAAGGACTGGAAACCTCTATTCAAAAAGCCTTTTACCGTTCATTGAAAAATCAAAATTGCATAATGCCAGGCTTCCATTTTTATGTTGCAAAGTATTGCTGCGATGGTGTGCTTGATAAATATCAATCTTCACTTTCAGCCTTTACAGAGTTCAACTTTTTTACAATGTCTTATTTTCCATTCCGTGATGAATTTTCCCGACGGACGCAACGTCGATAGCTTTTCTGTAATAGATAAAACGGAACTTGTTAGAAAATTTGCCATGGAAATACTTCATAACTATTTCTTCTAACAACCTGATACAAATATTTTAATCAACAGCTCAGATCATTACAGCCAAAACCCGATATGATGAAATCACCTAAACCACATATGTATTCCTTTGTAAAGACGTGCGTTACACTCCAAAAGCTTAACCCAAGAACCGATACTTTGTGGAATAGAATCTCGGATGTCTTCCCAGAACTATAAAATCTTAACCTTAGCAAATCTACGTTAAGTAGTTATCTATCCGCCATATTAAGATAACTTTCAGCTAAACTCCTCAGTTGAATAACAAATAATCTTATTCAGTGTTTGTTTACCTTGAAAGAAATTCAATTTTTGAAACGTCGTATTGGTTAAATTACCAGAAAATGAAATAAAAAAGAAAGTTACCAAAAAATCTGAATACAATAAAATATGCCACGTTTTTTTGCAAATAAACTCCTTTAAAAAACAGTGAAATGCTTTTAAAAAAGAATCATTGAAATGAAAAAATATTTTCTTAACCCATTGAAAAAGTAAATTTTTTGAAAACAAACGAAAGTCCATCAACCAAACATCACTTTATATTTTCATGTATAATCTCAGTTCTGTAACTGCATAAAATTAAGGGCCATAACGCTATTCCCTGCTTGCAATGAACGTTAAATAATAGGTTTCCCTTGTGGACATATCAGTCGCTACAGAATGGAGAATAAATCAATTTCTCCTTAAATTTAATATTTTTATATTTATGAATTATGTATATATATATACGTCGCTGTATTATATAAAAATATATATACGTTAGCACATGCTGACAAGTTTGAATAGTATCCAGGCGTTACATCTACCTCTGATCAAGTAATATTTGTACAGCTATTCGTATCTTGACAACGTTTAATGTCATCAGATATCAAAAGTCTGCAATCGTTAAAGAGAAACGGTTGCTATGCAACAACAATTTCTCCCGAGAATCAAATAAACTATACGTTTTTGTATTTCATTTTTGATTAATTGATACGTTTTCTAGAGGTTTATCAGCCCTTTGTAGGTAATTTAAAGCCAGACATTATTTTCAGATTGTAGGAATTTTTTTTTTAGATAATGATTTAGTGATAGAAGTCGTACTAATTAACTCATAGATGGGGTGAAGAAGATTAATTCATACTTTTCGCAAAATATTTCCTCATAAGTGAATATAACGAACCAGACTGGAATTTGAACTCTCCTCTTCGAGTTAAAATTCGAAGTCATTATCCATTACACCACCGCACATCCAAACTTACAATACTTGGTATTCCCAAGCGGTCACCCATATAGGTACTCGACGTTGCTTAACTTTTTAAAGAAAAGAAATATCTATAAGTTTTATATTTATGTTATTTCATAATTGAAAATTATATATATATATATAGGCCAGTGTGTGTGTGTGTAACTTAAATTTTGTTGTCATTTATGAAATATGTTTAATGTATTTTTTCAAAATGTGTAAATTTTCTTTTACATTTTTTGAGAAAGTAAAGTCTGATGAGCCAAGGAAGATCCTTTTATTGGGTAGTTAAAATTTATTACATGGAACCTTAAATATGGTCAGTTTTTTTTATTTAAAATATATATATATTATATATATATATAATTTGTCGATATATGTGTTATATATATATATATATTATATTATATATATTTGATATATTATTATATGATATGATATATGAATATATATATACATATATTATATATATATTATTATATGATATGATTTATTATTATAATATATATATATATCATCGATAATTTATTATATGATAAATATATATATATATATATATATATATATATATTTTATATTAAAAAAAAAAAATAAAAAATATATATTCTTTATTATATGATATGATCATATATAATGATAAATTATTATATGATATGATTTGATATATAAATGATATATTATTTATAATGCACACACATATATGACATATTATTATAAATATGATATATATACATATATTAATATATATATATATATATATATATATGATATATTATTATATTATATATATATATATATATATATATATATATATATGATATATTTTTATATGATATATATATATATATATATGATATATTATATGATATGATATATATAGGTAAATATATTATTATATGATATATATATATGATATATTATTAAAAACATATATATATATGGTATATTATTATGTTGATATATATATATGATATATTATTATATCAAAATGATATTTATATATATGGTATATTATTATATGATATATATATATGATATATTATTATTTATGAAATGATATATATATATATATATATGATATATATATATATATGAAATTTATTATATAAATATTATATATTGAAATATCGATATTGCATTATATATATTATATATATATATATGATATATTTTATATTATAATATATATATATATATATATGATATGTTATTATATTATTCCATATATATATATATAATACAGGTGGATTATTATATTATATGAGATATATATATATGATATATATTATATATATGGCATATATATATATGATATATTTTATATATGATGATATATATGATATGATATATTATATATATATATATATATATATATACCAATATAATATTATAATATATATATATATATATATATATATAATATAATAATATCTCATATATATATAAAATATATATCATATAATATAATAATATATCATATATATATATATATATATCAGAAAACTGATTAATTTTAAAAAATGTTTATGTATATATATATATAAGATTTTTTTTATTAATTTTTAGATTCGTTATTAAATTGAACTACCAAGTTATTTAAAAGAAGAAGAATATTTAAGATGATAAATATTTGTCGATAATGAATAAGTGATACAAATTATCAATGAACGATATAAATAGGGACAAAGGTTAATCCATACCTTTTTAAGGTATAACGCGTAAAGGGAAAAATAAGAGAAAATTTAAAATTATCATATAAATTTCGATTTATCAATATCAAATTTTATTATGCAATACACCACACGCAGTTTTACAGCACGTCGTAATTAAAGAAATTACCCATAACGTATTATGTATACATTTCGATTGGACACCTTCGGTGATCGTATTGATATCTACCAATGTTTAAATTTTTATATTTTTGTAATTATATTATATATATATATATATATATATATATATATATATTTATGTTCGATAGATGAAACTGACCCTGGGTTTATTTATGTATGATCGTGACGGAAAAAACTGATTAATGTTTTCGCAAAAATCGATGTTTATTTGTACATATTACGATGAATTGACAAAACGTGGAAATTTCCACCAAATCCACAATAAACACCAATACACGCAATCTACATAAACCCAAATTTTTTAAAAATTAATCAGTTTGTCTGACGATTTAATAAAGCGTGAAACCCAGGGTCACAAATCGTCACATCTATCCAACCAAATATGTTAGCTATATCTCTGATATTGAGCGCTTTCTAATAAGTACCCGCATATATAATATATAAATAATATATATATTTATTTATATTTATATTCACTTTTCACACATATATATATATATATATATATATATATAGGTGTAACATCAAAATTATCCAATTGAAAAAGAAAGTTCTGAACTTAGTATAAAAAAAATGATTAAAGATATTGGAATTTTTCGAGAATATTTTATAACATATTGGACTTTAGCAACAAGGATGTATAATTTCTCTCCAGGCTTCATTTCATATATATATATATATATATATATATATATATATATATAATGAAATGGACGAAGTCCGACAATTATTTACAGACATTTTTTTTTTATGTATATACGTTCTTTTTATATATACAAATATTTAAGGAAAAATCTTCTGTTTACAGTAAAACAGTATTAACGACATTCAGGCCGGTAAATGTCGTTAATAATGTTTTATTACTTTTAAGATGCATTTGCTTAGATATTTTGAATATAAATTTAAAAGTATAACCATAAAATGTCATAAATCCAGGTTTTTTCCAACAATTTAATCTTCGTCCTCTTTAATCGAACTTTGTCCTGAAAAAATGTTGCCTCACATGAAAAATAATGATACGATTTAATTTTCAAGTTTTTTGAAATCCTTTTTAAACTTTCATAGCTTTCTATCTCCTCTCTTACGTGCGAAACGTCTTATGAATGGAGTTGAATTTTTTTTTCTAATTGATCTATTGAGCTCTAAGTTAAAACGATGATCCCTCTTTCTGTTGCGACCTCCTGGTCAAGTCATCCTCTTATGTTCTTTATTTTTTTAAAAAAAGAAAAACCAAAACCAAAAAATTTATAGTTCTCTTGATGTTTCTCGGATTGTTTTAAAGATAGAAAGGCACTGTATGAAATCTTCCCCGAAATATTTAAATCTTTCAACAAATGATCCCACCACTCACACCATTGCCCAATTGAGAAGACAGATTTTTTTTCTAAAAAACAATTTTTGAATTTCTTTTAAGAATAAATAACTCAAAGATTAGGCAGTGATTATTATGACAAAGTAAACCATGAATACTGAACGTCTAACCTGAAAATCTGGAAAAAAGACACTCAATTATTTTAGCTTTTTTTTAGATACTAAATAATTTGTTGGATGGATAATTCTGTTACATGATTTCGATAATTTTGCTATTACACCCCATATATATATATATATATATATGTTATTGATTGATTACTTTACAACTTAACATTTTTAATGTTGTTTAAAACCAGAGAATATTTTTAGATTGTATGAATTGTGCCTTTTGAGATAATGATTTAATAACAATCATACAAATTCATAAATAAATATCGATGTATTGTATATAGATGGAATATACATGTCAAAACTAATTTTTTTGCCAATATGTGAACATTTAGACATGGGTTATTATAGAACTCCATTTCCGATTAACAATTCAGTTCCATTATCAATTATATCTTTTTAACATCCATCTT